AGACAGGGTTTCTCTGTGTAGCCCTGACTGTCCTGAAACTCACTCTGTAGATCAGGCTGGCCTCAAACTCAGAGATCCTCCTGCCTCTGCCTCCCGAGTGCTGGGATTAAAGATGTACACCACCATGTTCAGCTATGGGGCTATTATTCAAACTATCACAGACAGAAAACTCAGTACACAAAGGTATGAAGTTTCCCAAAATGTATATATAAGTAAATAGGGCTTTAGGCAAAAATCTTACCTTTTGAAAAGAGATGTTAACAAGTTGCTGATAAAATACATGTGAGAGCATAGGGTCAAGAAATGTAAGGTGGTTTTTTGAAACTCCATGTTGTAATGAGAATTGAATTACTAGGTTTGCTGTCCTAATAATACTAGAGTGATCCTGGGACAATTGATTATTCAAGTAGGAAAAAGTAAAGCCAGATCTTTATTCCGTATATAAAAATAAATCCACTAAGATCAATACTTTAAAATGCTTTAAAATTTTTAGACAGAACATAAGATAATCTGTTTTTTTTAATCTTGTAAAAAAAAGAATGCATTATTGTATAAAAAAAAAAAAAAACTAGCTAGGCACAGTGGCACACACTTGTAGCCCTCGCTACTCAGGCCAAGGCAGAGGATGGGATGGGGGATGGGGCCATCTCTTGAGCCTATAAGTTCAAGACTAGTCTGGGCAACATGGGAGATCCTGTCTCAGAAAAAGAAAACAAAATAAAAAAAATGTGAACTAAAATTGGAAAAGACTTATAGGTACTTACATTTTCATTAAAAATAATTTTTTTTTTGTTTTTATTTTTCAAGGCAAGGTTTCCTCTGTGTAACCTTGGCTGTCCTGGAACTCACTCTGAAGACCAGGCTGGCTTCAAACTCAGAGATCCACCTGTCTGCCTCCTGAGTTCTGGATTAAAGTCATGCACCACTATGCCCGGCTATTTTTTTATTCTTACTTATATGTACTTCTGTGTCTGTACATGGGTTTGTACACATGAAGGCAGTACCCAGTGAGGCCAGAAGATGGACCTTGGCTCACCTGGAGCTAGAATTAGAAACAGTTGTGAGCAACCCAACTGGGAACCAAACTCTAGTTTAAAAAAGATACCAACAAAATTACAAGTCTGTTGTCAGTACACACAATCAGCCTAGAACTAGTGACCTGAACATCAAGAACTTCAATCCCAGCCCTAGGGGTGCAGAGATGGGAGGAAGGCAGATGTGGGAAGATTGATGGAGGTCTAAAATCATCCTGGTGTACACAGTGGGGCCATCCAAGGCTGTTTGTCCCAGTAGAAGGAAAACAGTGAGACCCTGTTTCAGACAGACAAAAACAAAACAAACCACAAATGGGCAAAGCCTGGTGTAATAGTTTGCTTGTGATCCCAGGGCTGAGGTGGTGGACTGCAGGGGCTGCGGGAATGTGCAGCAGTGACAACTAGTGTTGACCATGCTTTCTGATGGTAATTTTCTCTTTTACTTCATCTTAAAAATGGTCTCTGACTCTGTCTCCACACGGCTGCATTCTATACTTACAGCTACATATCTTTCTTTAAATACATATGGTCATGCATCTCTGTACACAGTTACATCTATTTTCACGTTTACACATCTGTCTTTTACATACATTTCTACATATCTTTTCTATACAGCTTCATCCTCCTTGTCCCCACACAGTTACAAATCTCCACACAGCCACAGCTAAACATTTACAGAGCTCTCTCACCATACAGCACTTTACACAGTTCCTAGGCACAGCTCCTCTAGAGAGCAGCAGCTCTTTCCTTTTTTTTTTTTTTTGTTTGTTTGTTTGTTTGTTGTTGTTGGTTGTTTTTTTGTTTGGTTGGTTTTTTGTTTGTTTGTTTTGAAACAGGGTTTCTCTGTTTTTTTGGTGCCTGTCCTGGATCTCACTCTGTAGACCAGGCTGGCCTCGAATTCACAGAGATCCACTGGCTTTGCCTCCAAAGTCCTGGGATTAAAGGCGTGCACCACCACCACCCATCCTGACCCCACTCCCCACCCGGGCAGCAGCAGCTCTTTCACACAGCTCTCACTCACTCACTCATTCACACACACATACGTCTACACTATTCACTCACTCTTTCACCCACTCACTCCCGCACACTTCTCTCATGCTCCTTTTTCATCTCTCAGCTCGTGCGTGTGCACACGCACAGGCGCGCGCGCGCGCGCGCACACACACACACACACACACACACACCTCTCACTCACATTCTGCAGCAGCTCTCACATAGCTCTGTGCAGCCATCTCTGTCCACACTGCTGGTGCTCATTCTGTCTCAGCCAAACTCTGGACAGTTATACATTACATTTTCAGGGCCTGACCCATTCTCATAACACATGAAGTCAGTTTTTCTCAGGCTAGTAAGGTCACAAAGACCAGCCAGTGAGTAAACGCTTGGCCTTGAACATAACTTTTTCCCAGATAGAGAACGACATTGAAATTCGGGACTTAACAATAACAGTAGCAGGCTGAACCTTGAGCGTTCAGGGTATGTGCAGAAAGAGAACTACTGCAGGGAATTATATCTCAATGTAACTAGCCTGTCCTTGATTTAGCAATAAACAACACCTGGGAATTAGTTTTTGTGTATTTTCTGCAGGGGCAGCTTAGTCTGTTTTGAATTTGTTCTGAAGTCTAAAATTAGCTGTCTGTGAGACTGAGAATACTGCTGCTTTCCTGTGACAGTAAGAAGAATATTCTGGTATTGTTTCTGTTCATCAGAATTATACAGCTTACACAGAAATCATCTTCCTGACTATCCACAGCTTAATATGTGCCCAGTAAGTGTAAAACACATCACCAAAGGGCTGTGGAAAGAACCCCACAGCTGTTCTTTGTTGTCCAAATCTTAGATGGTCTTATTAATAGAAAACCCAGAGCCAAATATTGGGGTGAAAGCTAAAAGATCAGAGAAGCAGAGCAAGCAACAGCCACTACCTATAACCTCACCAACTCCATGAACCCTCTGACTGAAATCCTCTGAGTCCTCGCCCAAAAGAATCTCAGCTGAGCTGCCTTAGTTCCTCTTTCCTCATGCCTTATATACCTTCTCTGCCCAGCCATGTCACTTCCTGGGGTTAAAAGTGTGTGTGCTTCCCAGTACTGGAATTAAAGGTGTGTGCCACCACTACCTGGCTCTGTTTCCAGTGTGGCCTTGAACTCACAGAGATCCAGACAGATTTCTGCCTCCCAAGTGATAGGATTAAGGGTGTGTGCCACCACTGTCTGGCCTCTGTGTAATCCAGTGGCTGGCTCTGTCCTCCGATCCCCAGGCAAGTTTATTAGGGTACACGATATATCACTACAGTTCTTATTAGGCATAGCAGTGGCACCTGAGAAAGCTACAGACAGAAAACAACCGGTTGTTACAGTCAATAACTCCATGGCTTTGCCTTTGCATGCACCTGGTTGGTTGACCTGTTAAACACTAGTTGTCACTGCTGTACATTCCTACAGCCCCCTGCAGTGGACACAGGTCCCTGCATCACTGGCTGACTAACCTAGCCTTTTGGGTAAACTCTAGGCTAAGGAGAGGCTCTAGCTCAAAATAGTAATAATAATAATAATAATAATAATAATAATAATAATAATAATAATATGTCCAGTGCCCAGAGAATGACACCCAAGGTTGTCCTCTAGGCTACATACACATGCGTGCACACAGTAGTAGCCTAGCATATGTGAGGCACTGGGTTCAGTCTTCAGTACTGCAGAAATAATAATCTCAGCACTTAGAAGGCAGAGGCAGGCAGATTTCTTGTTTTGTTTTTGTTTTTTTGAGATGGTTTCCGCTGTGTAGACTCCACTGTCCTGGAACTCCATCTGTAGACCAGGCTGGCCTTGAACTCATAGATCCACCTGACTCTGCCTCCTGAGTGCTGGGATTAAAGGTGTGTGTCACTGCTGCCACCACTGCCCAGCTGCCACCACCCAGCTTGGGGCAGGCAGATTTACATAGTGAGTTTCAGGCCAGCCAAAGCTACATGGTGAGATCCTGTCTCTAAGTAAATGAGTAGGTAGGTAGGTAGGTAAAATGTAAAAATCCAAAGAGCCAGAAAATGTATACTCAGTCTTTGTGTTTTAGGAAGTACGAGTTCATTGCTTTTATTGTCGTTTGCTTTTTAGTTGTCTCAGAAGTACCTGAAATAGTCCACAGAGAAGGGAAGTGGACACATTATAAACAGGAAAATGCAACAGCCACGTTAGTGTTCTTTATCAGTCAAGGAATTGGTAAAAAGAACATTCTGTTAATAAGGTTTGCTTCTTAAAAAAAATACTTGAGGAGCTGGAAAGATGGCTTAGCAGTTAAGAGCACTAGCTACTCTTCAAGAGTACCCAGTTCAGTTCCCAGCACCCACATGGTGGATCACAACTGCCAGTAACTCCAGTTCCAGGGGATCTGATGCCCTCACCTGGCCTCTGAGAGCATGCACATGTGGTGCACAAACACACCTGCGGGAAAACACTTACAGTAAAACAAATCAATCTAGTATTCTAAAAGATATTTGAAATAGAATTTAAACTGCCCGCACTTACACAGACCAGCATTTACCAAATTAATAATCTGCCTGTCTCTGCAGGAAGTGCTGTGATGGACCTTTGGACAGCCATTGCCATGTGTAATGTTTTAATAAATAAAATGTAGCTAGTTTGTTTCATTTCTTTGAAGGATGCAGGGTATACTGCTTTGTGATAAGTAACTGTCTTTACAGACATGTTTTCCTTGTTCCCCAATGGACACTGGGAATTTACTTCGGCATTTACTACTGTGTTTCTATGTTGCCTCATTGTTTTTCATTTCTCCTTCATTCTACTTTTGTTCAGTAAAGTAAAATGTGGAGCTTGTACTTTTCTTGATTTGTTGGTGTGTGTGTGTGTGTGTGTGTGTGTGTGTGTGTGTGTGTGTGTGTGTGTGTGTAGGTACTTTGACTGGTGTTAATTATTCTGCTTCTGGAGTAAACTGTAGTCTTTCTCCTAGAACGCCCCATCCCCTATGACCACATGATGTATGAGCACCTGCAGAAGTGGGGGCCTCGCAGGGAAGAAGTGAAATTTTTTCTTCGACATGAGGACTCTCCAGCTGAGAGCAGTGAACAAGGTAGATAAATGTTTTCTTCTTCATTAACTTGTTAACTTTTATCATACTAATTAATTTTAGAAAAATTTATTCACACATTTTCTTCTTTCACTCAAAATTGTATTCCATGTGGCTTTGACCTCTGCAATTGCAGATTTGAGTATGTTGCAACCTGTAGGCACAGGCTCTTGCTTTCTTTCAGGACAACAAGCTGGTAAGATAATGCATTCAAATATGATAATGTGTAAACATGCAATATATGAAGAGAGTAATTTTAATAATTATCACATAGGTCAAACATTTAGATTTTAAAATGAAACCTTGAAATAATAAAGGAAAAGGCTATGAAAAAAATTTCTGATTTTAAGAGTGGACCAAGTCTTTCTCAGTATAATATCATACTATAAATGACAAGACCAGTAGGTGTGCTATTTAAAACAAAACCAGAGCCAGGTATGGTGGTAGACACATTTAATCCCAGCATTCAGAAGGCAGAGACAGGTAGATCTCTGAGCTCCAGGCCAGCCAGTGCTACATAGTGAGTTCCTGTCTTAAAAACAAAAAGAAACAACAAAAAAGAAAAAAGAAAGAAAAAGAAAAACTGATGCCTGTAAGCATGCTGACAACATGGATAACTCACATGGGTGAGTATATTTTTATTTCCAAGTACAAAGTCTTAGAAATTTATAGAAAAGTGTTTGGCTGGGCAGTGGTGGCACACACCTTTAATCCCAGCACTCGGGAGGCAGAGCCAGACAAATCTGTGTGAGTTTGAGGCCAGCCTGGTCTACAGAGCGAGATCCAGGACAGGTACCAAAACTACACAGAGAAACCCTGTCTTGAAAAAAACCAAAAAAATTAAATAAAGAAATAAAATAAAAATATTTTAAAAAGTTATAAAAAAAAGTGTTTGATAGAACAGCAAGAGACCCTGCCTCACAATAAATAAATAAATAAATAAATAAATAAATAATAAATAAATAAATAAATAAATAAATAAATAAATAAATAAATAAATAAATAAATAAATAAATAAATAAAAGTATAAAGCTGGACCAGAGAGAAATGACTCACCAGTTAAGAGTACTGGCTGCTCTTGCAGGGGACCTGAGTGTGATTCTGAGCACCCAGATAGTAGTTTACAGCTATCTCTAACTCCAGTTCAAGGGAATCTGAGCCACCTTCTGACCTCCTTGGGCACGAAGCACATACAAGATATTCATATATCCATGCCGGCAAGACACACATAAAATGAATAAACCTTAATAAAATAAAGAAAGCACAAAGCCTTTTAACCCAGCAGTCTTCCTGTAGAAGGTCTACATTTGATCTGTTACTGAACCTATACAAAATAAGGTGCACACAGTGTGACTCTTTTGTCTACTATTGATAGGAACACTATCAATGCCCATGGGGGATATCCACATGGTAGAGGGCTCTGCAGCTTTAAATACAGAAGAAATTCTGTGCCCTGGCCTGGAAGTGTGTCCAGTAGAGGAAGCCTGATGCCACACAGTGTTTATACCATGCTGGTGCTGCCTTTTGTGTGACTCAGACAAGAGTGACTGCATTAATGCACATGCTTTATGTGTGTGAAGCAGCTTTGGAAGGACATGTGAGAAACTGGAAATGTTAGCCTTGGCAGAAGAGAATGGGATGGCTGCAGGACAGGAAGAAGGTGTTGTTAATTGAAGACCTGCAGCAGGTTTTCATTTGGGCCACCGACCAGCTCCCAGTTCATGACACGGAGACTTATTATCATTATCAGTGCTCAGCCTTACCTTATGCTTTTGCCACTAGCTCTTATAACTTAATTTAACCTGTTTCTCTTCATCTACATTTTGCCTCAAGGCTTTTTACCTTTCTTTCTTCCTTCCTTCCTTCCTTCCTTCCTTCCTTCCTTCCTTCCTTCCTTTCTTTCTTTCTTTCTGTTTTTTTTTTTCAAAACAGGGTCTCTCTGTAAACAGCCCTGGCTGTCCTTAACTCACCTTGTAGACCAGGCTGGCCTTGAACTCACAGAGATCCACCTGCCTCTGCCTCTCTAGTGCTGGGATTAAAGGTGTGCGCCACCACACCCAGTGACTTTTTACCTTTCTTTCATCCTGTATGTCCCTACTTTCACTGCTCCTATGTGTCTGGCTGGCCACATGCATCTCCCTCTCTTTCTCCCTTGTTCACGTCTTTCTCTGCCTAAATTCCTCCTTCTACTCATTCTCTCTATCCACTGTCCCTGCCTATATCCCTCCTACTGCCTAGCTATTGGCTGTTCAGCTTTTTATTAGACCAATCAGGTGCCTTAGCCAGGCAAGGTGAAACAAATATAACACATCTTTACATAGTTAAACAAATGCAGCATAAACAAATGTAACACACCTTTATACAGTTACAAAATATTCCACAACATAAACCTTTCTGTTTCTTTTGAATTTTGATCTTTACAAACACACACCTGTTTTTAAGCTAAATTTTGCAGAAAATAAGGGATTTTTTTTCCTGATACATAAACACTGTAGAGTAAAAAGATTTTTATTGTATTATAATGAGTATAAGTGACTTTTGGTATTAATTATAAAATAAACTCAAAGCCGGGCGGTGGTGGCGCACGCCTTTAATCCCAGCACTCGGGAGGCAGAGCCAGGCGGATTTCTGTGAGTTCGAGGCCAGCCTAGGCTACCAAGTGAGTCCCAGGAAAGGCGCAAAGCTACACAGAGAAACCCTGTCTCGAAAAAACCAAAAAAAAAAAAAAATAAAAATAAAAAAATAAAAATAAAAAAATAAACTCAAAAGCCGGGTGGTGGTGGTGGTAGTGGCAGCGGCAGCGGCAGCGGCACATGCCTTTAATCCCAGCACTTGGGAGGCAGAGGCAGGCGGATCTCTGAGTTCAAGGCCAGCCTGGTCTTCAGAGCGAGATCCAGCACAGGCTCCAAAGCTACACAGAGAAACCCTGTCTCCAAAAACAAAAACAAAAAAACCACCTCAAAAGGAGGTAATTTTTTAAAGAAGGAATTCTTTGCTGCAAGTTACCCTCCTTTATTTGTCCGTGTGTGCGCGTGTGCGTGTGTGCGCGCTCGTGTGTGTGCGCATGTGTGTGCGCACGTGTGTGTGTGTGTGTGTGTGTGTGTGCGCGCGCGCGCGCGCGTGCGTGCGTGCGTGCGTGTGTGTGTGCGTGCGTGTATTGACACAGGTTCTCTCTCTCTGTTGGACCCTGTAGTCCTGGAACCTCTGGCCTCCCAAGTGCTTGGATTAAAGGCGTGTGCCACCATGCCTGGCTGCCCTTCTTTATTTGTATTATCTATTAAAGAGAATTGTTCCTGCTAGCTGAGCTCGTACTTGCTGTAAAATCGTTTTTCTTTTTTCTTTCCTGTTCTTGTTTTTTGAGACAGGGTCTCACTTTGTAAACTTGGCCAGCCTGGGACTCAATATATAGACCAGGCTGGCTTCAAACTCATAAAGATCTGCCTACCTCTGCTTCTGAGTGTTGAGATTAAAGGTGTATACAACCATACCTGGCAATTAAAACACAATTTGTTTTTAAATTTATTTTATTTTATGTTTTGCCTGCATGTGTGTCCATGCACCACATACATGCCTCGTACCTGAATGTCTGTCTGTGCACCACTTCTGTGCCTGGTGCTTCATGTGTGTGTGTGCACCCCATGCATACCCGGTGCCGTCAGAACCAGAAGAGTGTCAGACTCCCTGGGACTTGTAGTTACAGAAGGTTGTGAGCCACATGAGGGTGCTGGGGAATTGAACCCTGGGCCTCCAGAAGAGCAGCCAGTGCTCTTAACCATAGAGCCATCTCTCCAGCCCCCATTTAAAACACTTTGGAAAGCAAGTCGATTTCATGCTCGACTATAAATTTCATGTTTGAAGTGTGTGTGTGTGTGTGTGTGTGTAAATTAAAATACAAGAAGAAATACGTGAAAAGACTGATTGCAAAACATTTTTAACTGTACTGAGTCTGAGTCTGGTATTTTACATGTATACTCAATAAATATGCAAAAAAGTGGAAAAATTGAAGGCTTGGTAATTGTATTTGTTATTTTTCTCATTTCTGTGGGGGAAAAAATAGCTGAGAGCAAAAGAGAAGGCTCAGCAGTTACAAGTGCTTTCTCTTCCAGAGGACCTGAGTTCAGTCCCCAGCACAAAGATCAGGCGGCCCACAACCACTAGAAACTCCAGCTCCAGGGGATCAAATACCCTCTTCACACACACACACACACACACACACACACACACACACACACACACACACACATACACACACACACGCAAATAAGAAAACATTTTTTAAAGGCAAAGAAAAATCTTTTGGGGGCTGGAGAGACATTTTAGTTGTTAAGAGCACATACTGCTTTTACGGAGGACCCGAGTTCAGTTCCCAGCACCCAGCTCACAGCTGTGTGTGTGTGTGTGTGTGTGTGTGTGTGTGTGTGTGTGTGTGTAACTCCAGTTCCAGGGCATCCAGTGCCCTCTTAGGGCTTGGATGGGTACTGCCCTTATGTGCATAAACCCACATACAGACACACAGACATGCAATTAAAAATGAAGAGTGGGTGTGGGGGCACCTGCAGGAGGGTCTCTGTGAGTCTACACAGCAAGTTCCAGGACAGCCATGGCCATACAGCAAGACCTTATGTAAAAAACCAATAATGATGATGATAGTAAGTTCTTTTTAAAAACTGGAAATATAAGTTCAGTACTCACGTATGAAACTCAAATTTAAGTAGAAGAAAGTGTAGGAAAAAATAATTGACAAAGTCTCTTTTGGTTCACAGTTTAAGTAGTCATACTATCCATCATAGTGGGAAAGGCATGGTAGGAAGGCTGTTCTGGCGGGAAGCAGAGCGTGAACTCTCCCGCTCTTTTTAGTCAGTCTAGAACCCAAGCCCATGGCCCAGTAGTACATACCTTCAGGGTGGGTCTTCCCACCTTAGTTAAACCTTTCTGGAAACCCCCTTCATAGGCACACATGGGTGTTTTCATGGTGTTTCTAACTCCAGTTAACAGTGTGGATGAGCCATCACAGTAAGCTTGATCTCATCTCTTTAGGTGGCCGTCAGACCCAAGAGCAGAGAACCCAGAGAAATGTAATAAATGTTCCTGGAGAAAAACGCACTGAAAATGGGGTAAGTCATGGGAGCTAAATTGATTGATTGATTGATTGATTGATTTTTTTTTGTGTGCTATGCTTGAGTAACTGGTCACATCCAGGTGCAGAGCAGTGGTTCTCAACCTGTGGGTCTCATATAGACACTTACATTATGATTCATAACAGTAGCAAAATTTACAGTTATGAAGCAGCAATGAAAATAATCTTATGGTTGGGGGTCATCACAACATGAGGAACTGTATCAGAGGGCCGCAGCATTAGGAAGGGTGAGAACCACTGCTGTAGAGGCCAGAGGACAATTGCAGTATTGTCTCTCAAGACGGGTCCACCTTGTCTTGTGAGATGGGATCTACCTGGCCTGTCACTTTTCAAGTAGGCTGGACTGACAGGTCAGTAAGCACAGGAGTCTGCCTGCCAGCACTGAAACCAAGAACTGACCAGACAGGCTGGTTTCATTTCTTCAGTGTTGATGCTGTGATCATTGTGTCAGGATTGAAGAACAAAGTGGGTGGAGGGTGAGCATGTGTGAGCACTGACAATGAGAGAAGTTCCTTCAGCACTCTGTGTAGCTTTGGACAGTAGGTTACATGGCCAAGGAGACATGGAAGGCCCCTTTTCAGGAATGCTGGCATGCTGGAAAGGACAAGTAAACAGGGAAATTTTCAACCTGGTCTTTTGTTTGGAAATTTTAGTAATGACTTTTCCAAATAATTATAAGACTAGAGGATTAGTTTAGTTCTTTCTCATCCTTCAGCTAACTAGACATTTAACCTTGGGCAAGTGTTTGGCCTAGTTAGATGCTGGTAAGAATGTGGGGTCTGGCCAGGCGGTGTTGGCGCACACCTTTAATCCCAGCACTCGGGAGGCAGAGCCAGGTGGATCTCTGTGAGTCGAGGCCAGCCTGGGCTACAGAGCGAGATCCAGGACAGGCACCAAAACTACACAGAGAAACCCTGCCTCAAAAAAACAAAACCAAAAAAAACCAAAACCAAAAAACAAAACAAAACAAAAAAAGGATGTGGGGTCTGGAGGGAGAGGCTGTATACTAGCCACAAGACTTGCACACTGGCTCCATTTGCCTCTCAACTTCCTAGCTTATTGATGATGTGCTGCTTTTGTTGTTTACCTCTGAATGTACAGCTTGAGGATCACTCGTTCAAAGTGTTTCAGATTTCATAGTTTTTCAGATTGGAAACGTCATTGGTTAACTATCCCTAATCCAAAAGTAAGGTTAGAACTCAAAAATGTTGGATTTTGGACGTTTGGATAAGGAAGACCTAATCTGAATTGCCATTGCCACCTCCTCTTCCTCTTCTGAAGACTTTATAATGTATGTAAGTGATTTGCCTGCATGTAGGCATGTATGTATACCATGTACGTGACCAGTGCCCATGGAGGCTAGAAGAGGGCTTTGGATCCCCTAAAACTAAGGTTTTTAGACAGTTGACAGCTGCCATGTGGGTGTTGGGATCCAAACCCAGGTCCTCTGAAAGAACAAGTGTTCTTAATTGATGAGCCATCTCTCCAGCCCCAAATCTCTGCTTCTTTGAATCACATGCCCTCTATCTTAGTGAAAGAAGGATACTAACCTCCTATCCCTTCTTCTGTCTTCCCTCTTTCTACATTTTAAGCAGCATATAACTTATTTTGTCAAGTTTGACAATATTTATATACTTTTATCTAGTTCTAATTACCATTCTTTTTTTTTTTTTTTTTGGTTTTTTGAGACAGGGTTTCTCTGTGTAGCTTTGTGCCTTTCCTGGAACTTACTCTGTAGCCCAGGCTGGCCTCAAACTCACAGAGATCCACCTGGCTCTGCCTCCTGAGTGCTAGGATTAAAGGCGTGCGCCACCACTGCCACCTGGCTCTAATTACCATTTTTAGACTTTGTCTACAGAGTGTTCAGGGCGGTAATTCAGTTGTTAGAGAGTTTTCTCAGCATGAATGAGGTTCTGGGTTCCATGTCCAGTGCCTCATGAACCAAGAATAGTGGCATATACCTGTAACTTCAGCACTGGGAAGGTGAAGACAGGAGGGTCATTAGTTCAAGGTCATCCTTGACTATACTGTGAGTTCAAGGCCATCTGGGATAGATGGTGACACACACTTTTAACTCCAGCTCTTGAGAGGCAGAAACAGGTGGATCTCTGTGAGTTTGAGGCCAGTATGATCTGCATATAGAGACCCTACAGAGGGGAGGGAGGGAGGGAGGGAGGGAGGGAGGGAGGGAGGGAAGAAGGGAGACAGTATAACCTAGTTAATAGTAAGTTTTTTTAGGTTTTATAAATAGTCACCATGGAGCATGTCTGAGTTACTTTTCTGTTGATGTGAAGAGACACCATAATGAAAGCAACTTAGAAAGTATTTAATTGAAGTCTTGCTTACAATTTCAGAGGTTGAATCCATTGCCATCATGGTAGGGAGCATGGCAGCAGGCAGACAGGCATGGCACTGGAGCATCAGCTAAGAGCTTGCACCCTGATCCACAAATTGGAGGCGGAGAGATCGAGACTGGGCCTGGCAATGGCTTTTGAACCCTCAAAGCCCACCCCCAGTGACACACCTTCACTAATAAGACCACACCTCCTCCAATAAGACCACACCTCCTAATCTATCCCAAAACATTCACCAAGGAACAAGCATTCAAATAAATCAGCCACCACAGAAACATATGGATAATAATTTCTAGTTGATCTTACTGAAAAGCATTTAGGTGTGTGTACATATATAATGTATGCACATGTATGTATAAGTGTTTGTCTGTGTCTACAGGTGAGAAGACAGCCTTAGGTGTTGGTCCTTTCCATCCACCTTCCTTTTTGTTCACTGATGTTCCACCAGACTAGCAGGCCTGCCAGTCCCAAGACTCTGCAGTCTTTGCCTCCATCTCTCTGTAGGAACCATGGTATTACAGCTAGCTCTACATAGGCCAACTTTTAGGTGGGTTCTGAGGATTCAAACTCTGGTCCTCACACTTTGGTGGCAAGTGCTTTACCCACCAAGCCATCTCCCCAGCCCCACATTTTTTTCTGGTTTCAATGTCATAGTCCTCGTGCCACCCAGAAATGCTGATGTTAAGGTTGGGCATTGTAGATGTAACCAACTGTCTTATTAAATAAGAAACACAGAACCAATGCAAAGAAGAAAGCCAAGAGATCAGAGCTAAGAGCCTTACCGCCTGCTGCAGCTAGCCTCTTCAGCCAAGAGACCTCTCCAAAAGAGACCTACTTCCTGTGTGTTTGTCTTTATATAGTTTTTCTGTTCTGCCTTCTCATTGGTTGTAAACCCAAACACATGACTGCCTCGTCACTGCCTCCAGGTATGTACAGCCCTCCAGGTCTTCTATGGTATTGAGATTAAAGGCGTGTGTCTCCAATGCTGGCTGTATCCTTGACCACACAGAGATCTACCTAGCTCTTCTACCAAGTGCTGGGATTAAAGGCGCGCACCACGAACGCCCAGCTCTGCTATGGCTTGCTATTAGCTCTGACCCCCAAGCAACTTTATTTATTGACATACAAATAAAATCACATTTCAGTACAAATAAAATACCACCATAGGGCATTCCTCTTCCTTGCTCTAAAGAGCATTTCCTACATCCTTTATCTGACATACTTGTCCACTCTAAATCTGGAGTTGTGCAGAAAGCTCTTAACTGTTTCAGGAAATCAGTCTGTCTCTGTCTTTGTCTCTCTCTCATTCATCCTCATTCCTCGTTTGTGACAAGGCCTCACATCAGGCTTACATCAGACTTTCTGTGTAGCCAAGGATGACCTTGACTTCCTGATCCTCCTGACTCTACCTCCTGAGTACTGATCTTACAGGCCTGTTGCATACATGGCATCTCTTACTCTAAGATTTCCTGACACAGATAGATGTGGCAGTACATGTCTATATTTCAACTACCTGGGAAGTAGAAGCAGGAGGATTGCTGTGAGTTCAAGGTCATCCTCAGCTATATAGTGAAGTTCTAAGCTACCTTGGGCTACATAGTGAGACTCTGTCTCTAAGTAAATAAATAATTCTTGGTGGAATTTGTGATTGTATAAATTTAGTGGGATCTAAAACAGTCCTTATGTGAGTGTTCCTGTACCAGGCAATATTGCCTCCAGGGAACAGCCATACACCACAGTAAGAATTCAGAATTAGCCGGGCGGTGGTGGCGCACGCCTTTAATCCCAGCACTCGGGAGGCAGAGCCAGGTGGATCTCTGTGAGTTCGAGGCCAGCCTGG